ATCGTTAATTAATTTAGTTAATAATCTTTTATTTCAATGTGATAATTCAAAAGTGGCCCTTGGTATTTTTGTTGACTTTAAGAAAGCATTTGACACAATTAATCATGATATTTTAATTTCAAAGTTACAGCATTACGGGGTAAGGGGACCCCCTCTATTTTGGATTTCTGATTATCTCAGCAACAGGTTTCAGTTTGTTTCCTCTGGTGGGTGTGTCTCAAATAATTTACATATACATTGTGGTGTTCCTCAGGGATCAGTACTGGGAGTAGTTATGTTTTTAATTTATATAAATGATTTACCAAGCTCTTCAAATTTTTTTGATTTCAGGTTGTTTGCCGACGATACAAACTTATTTAAATCATTTTCCGGGAATATATTAGATCTCAATGAGGTTAATTGTCAGTTTAAAAAAGTCATTGAGTGGTGCAACGCCAATAAATTAACAATAAATGCCGATAAAACTAATTATATAATCTTTCAGTCAAAAAATAAAGTTGTTACAACGTTTGGTTCCATTAGGATTAATACAAGCTTAATTTCTGAATGTAAATCTGTTTATTTTGTTGGCGTTAAACTCGATAAATACCTTAGTTTTAAAGAACATATATCTGATTTAAACAATAAAATAAAAAGGAGAGCTGGTTTTTTATTTAAGTTACGGCACTGTGTCCCTGAGGAAACATTGGTTATGCTTTACAATTCTTTTATTCTACCCAACTTGATTTTTGGTATTGAGGTATGGGGCAGCACCTACGAATCGCATTTAAAACCTTTATTAATCACTCAAAAAATGTGTGCCAGATGTATCACTTTTTCTAAATTTAGGGCTCATTCTGTACCTTTATTTAAAAAACTTAACATTTTAGACGTATTTAAGCTTCATAAATTATATATTTTGAATTTTATATCAGACTTATTTAATAACAGATTACCACATAGTTTATCTGATTATTTTGAAAATATTTGTCATAGTTATGCAACAAGGTTTAATTACGAATATAATTTAGCCATATCAAAATGCAGAACTAATTTAGGTAAATTTAGAATTTCTTATATGGGTGCTAAACTCTGGAATACAATACCTGTTAAGTTAAGAGAGACTACCTCGAGGAATGTATTGGTTTCAAAACTGAAAAAATTACTTTATTCCGAGTATGAAGATTGATGCCTATTTATTTATTTTCATTATTTTATTTATATATTTATTTTATTCTATTTTATTTATTGGGGCTGAGGGGGATAATTAAGAAAGGGGCCAAGCTCGATTAGACTTGTCTATTTCTTGG